GACACATCTGCTATTAAGAAACATGTATTGGAATACAATAACGAGGTGAGAATTCTTTTAGCATCTCTGATTATACATTATTGCAGTTAAATTATATTTTCGTAATTATATGTAATACATATATATATTTTTGTTTTACAGAGGGATGATTTTGATATAGTGTGAATGAACTGATATAGTGTCAACTGAATTTTCTTGTTTTTTACAAAAAAGACAATTGATATGCAACAATGTATATAAAAAAAACTGTCAATGTATATAAAAAAAAACTGTTAATGAAGAGAGTAATCTACCTCTTATTTTTTCTTTATATATAAAACATATCTTGAATATTGTTTTTAATATAAACTCCACAATAATACTATCATTGTTCGTAAAAAAGGTCTTTTTTTTATAGTAGTAATAAATAAAGTTTTTTTCTTGTAATATTATATCTGGATTCCCATAAAACACAAATACAAATGTCTTAAAAATAAAATAATAAAATACGCATAGAGATTCCTTGTAATGAGATAAATTTATTAAAAATTGAATTAGTTGTCACTACCTTGAGATTGTATATGTTGAACATAATCGCTTAAACATAAGGGCACGAAGAATGTATTGACGTAAATATGAAGATTTTTACTACTTAAAGTTTAGCGCAGATGAGACATCAATTTTTATTTATAACCAGAGATTGCAAACAGTTTAAAAAATATCAACTATATATCAATATATTTTTTGTATAATAACTAAGATAAAAGTCGAACCAATCAAATTTATAATGTATTTAATTTTATTATTTAATCTTTCGATGTTCAGTCTCTGCTTATAACATGAAGATCACGTTCAAGATATGTGCTGTACTGAAAATCAATATAGATCATATCTAGCGCTAGTCTGCAAACAAAAGTACAATTATGTGCATTTTTACACAATCCGCTGACACTGATTCGATTAATTGATAAAGAGAACACATTTATATCGTACTAGGAACATTAGGAATACTTCGCCAGAATTAGACAATGCAATGTGGAACGATATAAAGAAAAATTGGAGCAGCGATGAATTATATCACGTGCATTCCGAGCAGCCACTCATTCATATACTTATAATGATAATTAGTATTTATTATGATTATGATACAAATGTTACATGTTAATATCTTTATAGTAATCGGCAGTCTCTGTGCTGGTCTCTGTGACATCGCCGCCGCGTTAAGTAATCTTTATTACGTTCTAAAGAGTACTCGGAGTATGCACTTTTTTTCTTTTTTTTTGTCTCTTTCTTTCCTTTGTACTTTTTTAAAACGTAATTAACAGATCAAACGGGGGCGTGTGTCGGCTCAGGTCCCTAAGTATCTCCTCCTCTTCTCCTTCTCCTTTACCGTCAACTATTTACATAATTGCCTTGCGAAATCTCTCCGTAACACGCTGCATTTATTCACAGAAGGAAAAAAAAACGGTATCGTTTATTTTGTTTTTGTTCCGTATTCTTATCTATCTCCGCGGCGTATCGCTACACCGGCCTCGTGAAAATTTTATTCAATTTATTTGAAATGAAACGTGAGTCATGATCGCACGTTTTCCCGTAATGTAAAACGAGCTTATGTGATATTTCCGATATAAAGGCCCATAGTGAAATATCGTACAAAAGAAAAAAGCAAAGAAGACGAAATGAAAGGAAAAGGAAAACTAGTAATATAATACATTTGTGCAGTTATTAGTTATCGATAGTCGAGACATCCACTCGCGAGATACAGTAAAATGCCTCTCATAACTATCGAACGTGTTTCATACTTTCAAATTACTATATCTATTGTTCGTTTTTTCTTACGTGGAGACATACTGTTACATATAGAATTTCGCATCAATTGTGCTTGTTATGACTTTTGTCCCTTCTCGAAAGAAATTCAATTCTTTCTTTTCTGAATCATTCTACTGTTCTTTGTACAAATTCGTTAACGTATTCTATTCTATCGATTAATCTTAACGAGATACTCAGTGAATTATGTTGTCCTTGTATGGTCTTGAAACAAATATATCGCACAACAAAATGCAGAAAATGCATGAAAATTTCCATTGCATCATTTCATTTAAATAATTACTTATTTGACTGCAAAACGCTGAGTATCGCGCTAAACTCGAATTTGCAAACCTACATCGCTATATCTGGGGTCGCCCAAATTCTGAGAAATTATGACAAGGTCCTGCTGGCTATTTCTCAGGTTTTGGTGAGTTCACCAATTTAGCATCCATGCTTCTTTCGATATTCGAATGTCAGAACTGAGTTGTTTTGAGAAGGCAAAGTAATAAAATATATTTTTGTAAAAAGATCAGATGCTTAAGGAATAACCGTGACAAAAATAAGTAAAAAAAGTGCTTTGGGAAAACTGTATGCATTTAAATGCAGTTCGCAGTAGTGAAGAGAATTGGGAATCATAATGAAATGGCCAGCTTTGTGCATGGTATTAATGAACATATGAAAGTTTCAGAAAGACCAATGGATGACTGCTTTGATGAAAAAAAGATTCTTACAGTTGTACACTACTATCTACAAAAACTTCAATGTTTTTTTTTAAATTTTAATATTCTCTTCGTATTATGTTTGTGTTGCAATAAATAGTATAAATTTTACATAGGCAGTTTTACATATGCTACTGTACAAGAAGTGTAAAAAGATTTATATCTTTCCCACTCCAATTTAAGTATAAATTTATCGATATAAATAAATCTACATTAGACTCAAATATAATTTTTATATAATAATCTGACGCTGAAAAAGGATTCTGAAATATATCATTAGAATTTGAAAGCAGCATCACCACCCATTGTGGATTGCACTGACGTTTTTTTTACGATGACTTAATTTATTAATAAAATGTTTACTTTGTTAAGCAGAATAAATTAAAGCCGCTTATTATTATCCATTACGCTACATTCAGTTCATAGGGCCAGTCATTCCATCTTCAGATAAAAAATCTAGTATTTTATTTGACAAATAAATCTCTTGTGTCTCTGTCTGGATCGTAGCATCGGCTGTAATACAGACAGAGTAATAAGTTTGGTGAATATTGGAAAGACTGGTCCTTCAAGACAATATCAAATTTACGTTTTTGTTAATCCTCCAATATTATGCTATCTGATATTGAATTCCAGTCTTTATGCCCTTGACATATTGCGGATAAAATTATCAACCAGTAAGTAAATGATTCTCCCCCCCCCCCTACAGTATATTAATTTAATCATTAACAATTCAATTGCATCAATCAAATTAATTTTTCTAGAGTATTAAATCAAGTATTAGATAGTATTTTCACTGTAAAAGTCTATAGAACTCACGTGTGTGGACGAAAATGAATGGAAATTATAGAACGAATATTAGATATGAATCGTGATAGACATAAGCTTTGGAAGATTGACAATGTACCTATTTTGTCCATTCAAAATCGTAATTTTTACAAATTATATTTTTACATACCGGAATGCACGTGGTGACATTCATTACATATCATTGCAATTTTATGGCTGCAAAATATAAATGTACGATAATAACGAAAGCGTCTTATCAACGTTAGTGTCAGCTATTAGTAAAAAAAATGCACATGTCGCCGAAATAATGTACAAATAACATAATTTTTAATAACAGGTAAGTACAAGACGTTTTTGTGCTCAGTTTTTTTGGAGTATATCTATATATTCTTAATTGGGCACGATAAATTTTGAGTTTTTTTTTATCATACGCTGCGACAACGAGTAGATAGATTATTGCATATTAACATTATATAATGTAATGATACGTCGCGAAACATTTTTCCAAAGATTTTCCGACACAAATAGTCTCTCTCTACATGTGTCAGATATATCCATATCATAATATAAATAAGCATAATTTTAATATTCATTAAAACTCATATAAATATATAATATATATATATAAAATTTTTAAATCAATCAAATTTTTACCCAATAATTAGAGAAAATTACAAAGTTATCTCTTAATGCTCAAAAAAGGAATAATACCGACATTCTTCATACACTCAAAACTTTAAGATTTAAGTAAGTTTACGTATTCTTTAACTTGAAATGAATGTAAGGAGAATTCAAGCAATAACATCTACTTTAAATATCTAGCAAAGGATCCCAATAGATCCTAAAACACTTTTCTCACAATTGCTACTCGGATATGCATATTGAGTAGTTCTCGTCCAATATGCACAGTATGTACATCATATGGATGGAATCGTAAAACGGTAACACTTTATAAAAATGGAAAATTTCTTCATTGATGCCAGTAACAATTATTATGCTATTGCTTCATGATTTTAATGATTGAAATTGGACGAATCTTTACAATCCAAATTAATATATACCTTAACCGGACCTTTATTGTATAAATCTCTTTGGATAAATAAGAGATAAAGTTGAATGAGAGATAAGACAGTTCAAATGAGAGTCATGCACAATTGTCCGTATTATCCGTATTTCTAGTCGGAAAACGTCGTAGATCAATTATATGATTCGATATTGCATTCGAATTTATAATTAAGATAGTCATCTTCAATAAATGTTAAATTATAATATATTAAAGCTTCGATGGTCTAAAGGCTTAGGACGCTCACAAAGAATGCTATATAGAAATCTGAGTTTGACTTTCGGGGCAATATTTTTCGTAATAAGAATTAATTATTTGCAGATTTTAATATGTTATTCAGCATTATGAACGTTGTTCTAAAATGCGTAAGAGCATCGAATTGTTAAATTTATTTATGACTAGTCAATTTTATTTGTGATATTACTACGATAGTTTAGAGTTTGTCTTTCAAAAGTAATTTAAAAGACTACATACGTAGTAGTATATAAATTCACACAAAATTATACAAGCACTTAAAACCTAGCTAGACCGTTAAAGGCATTTATTTCCTATTGATTGTGTTCCCACATGTATGACCTTATGAGATTTAATATTTAATACTGTTAAATTATAATGTTGCTAGGAAAGTCCAAGTTACAATCTTAATTAAATTATATAATATCGAATCATATAATTGATTTTCCTATTCTGATTGTATAATAAATTCGCTTGCGTTACACTTAAAATGCGAGAAAAACACTCATCTGCCAGTGATGTGTTCGAATTACCCAGTTGAAATTAAGAAACATTCTTCAAAGTTTAAATGTCGACAATATTCACTGATAATGACCTGGAGATGAGCCAAAACGTTTGAAGTAAAATAAATGAATTAAAATAAATAATTATAATAAATAATTATCTGCATTTGGTAATTTGTGTACTGACAACTATGCATGACTCTCATTTGCCCGTTTTTATTTTTATTATTTTAATATCGTGAGTTTATAAATTGTTATTGTTTTTATAAGACAGTTCTGCAACAGAAGAGCGCAAAAACGTAAGAAGCGAACTCTTATGTAATCACAGTAGGCGCGTTGCGACCAGTATGCTGACAAAGTTCGCTTAATTCTAATGCGATATTAATTAAAGGTTTTAAAACAAGTTGTGCGTCTTTTTCGAAAGTAACTGGATCATTCTCATAACTATCGATATACATACGGATAGTGGCACCAGAACTTCCTGTTCCGGATAAACGGAATACGATGCGGGAGCCATCCGCAAACAATATCCGTAATCCCTAACACGTACAAAATATTATAACTAATTTGAAAATACGAGATTATTCGTACTAATATGATTATAGAACATACCTGTTTCGTAGCTTTGCTACCATCAACAGAATCCGTATAGGAATAATTATCCACCTGCTTAACAATATACTCTTTACCTTCGTACTGCAATTGTCTGCCGATAAAATCTGACTTTTCAACTAGAGTTTCGATGCTTTGCATCATTTTATCTGCGCACGCGGAATCGCAGTTTTCATAATCATACCTATAACAATACAGTAATGTAGAAATTAACGTTGAATTAAAAAATATTTAAATATATATTCAAAAATAATAGACTGTGTCTGTGTGCGTGTGTGTACCTAGTAAAGAAATTTCTTCCATAAACTTTCCAATGATCCAATAAAATATTTTCCACAGATTTTCCTAGTCCTGCGATCACATTGAGCCAGGCTAGACATGCCCATATTCCATCCTTCTCACGAATATGATCGGAACCGGTACCGAAACTTTCCTCTCCACACAACGATAGATTTCCAGCATCCATTAAGTTTCCTATACAAAAAAGATTATATTGAACAAATATAAAATTGATAATTTGTAATATCCGTAAGATAAAAATTCTGCATACCGAAATATTTCCATCCAGTAGGAACTTCGAAGAATTTTACTCCATTTTTAACAGCAACTCTATCGACAGCCGCAGCCGTTGGCATTGATCTAGCATATCCTTTAACACCAGTCTTTTGAAAATACGGAATTAATTTTAGATTAGCAGCTAACACCGCTAAGGAATCGGAAGGAGTAACGAAGAAGGCTTTCTTGCCCAAAATCTGTAAGTACAATTTAGTAAAACTATTTCTTATCTACAGGTCAATTTTTTAGATCATTTTTTGATGAATTTTCCTTACCATATTTCTATCTCCGTCTCCATCAAAAGCCGCACCAAAGTCGTACGGTCCTTCCTTTACAGCATTCACTAAATCTTTGGCATAAGTTAAATTTGGATCGGGGTGTAAACCACCGAAATCTTCTAATGGCTTTATATTTACTAAGCTAGTTTCATCGACGCCTAATTCAGTGCTAAATATTTGCTTTACATACGGTCCCGTAACTGAAAATTATTACAGCTTCTATTATAATATCTATTATAATATCTAGATAATAAAATCTATTATAATATCTAGATAATAGCTTCTATTATAATATCTAATAAAAGCAGAAGTCAAATTCAAATTATATAATGTCTAACCTCCGTTCATTGAATTGATGAGAATTTTAAATGCTGGCTTATCTGCATTGCCTTGTAATAATTTTCTAATACTCGCAAAATCAAAAATTTCTTTCATAAGTTCCACATAATCCTTCACAGAATCAATTATATCGATGATAAATGGTCTACCATCCACTTCAATAGAGACACTCTGCACTTTGTCAATATCTATACTAATATCAGGAATAATTTTATAACTCTGGAGCGTTTTAGTAATCTCGTAGATTTTATTCGTTACGTTGTCTGGAGCCGGGCCGCCATTGTCGCAATTAAATTTAATGCCAAAGTCGGCATCAGGACCACCAGGATTGTGCGACGCAGTTAAAACGATCCCTCCTTGCGTTTTATACTTTCGTATTATAGTCGACACCGCTGGCGTCGAGAGAATGCCATTTTGTCCAACTATTAACTTCCTTACCTAAAAAAAAATTACAATATATCTGATGTCTATACATCATAATCTTATAATTTTATAATCTCTTACAATTGTCCAATTATATTACTTTAATTAAATAAAGTTGTTAATGTCAAATCATCAAATAATGTATGTGTTATAAAAAAATTACATAAATCTATGTTTTTTAATATCAAGTTTGCTAAATCTGTTAAACATAATTGCTGTCATCAATGAATTCTTCTGTTATATCTTATGTTCATTTTTATCCAATATAGATTAACTTTAATCTCTATTTAATTTACTTGTTATCTTCTTCTAATTCTTAGAATTTCACTCACACTGTGCTAGATTAGTACATATCAAAAGACTGCTTTATATAAAGTATCTAAATGCGATGGCATAATATAATCAACTCTGACAATAAAATAATACAAGTGTATTCTCTATTAAACGTGATAATATTATATATTTATTATATATTTATATTTATGTTTCCACATTTAACTTCATTAATTTCATGTACAGCTGCTTTTAATTGTGCTACTAATTTAGTGTAATGCGAGTGACTGAATTTGCTATTATATCAATCTATTCTTTGGCCTTTACCCCGTTTGCCGCGGCGATTCGGATGATTTTCGTCACCGCTTCCTTCACGTAAAATCGTCCGTCGCCGCCGACGACGAGGGTGCAGCCGGTCAGCTGATCGCCCAGGGCGTGCAGTGTCGCCTGCACGAAGTTTTCCGTATAGTGCTCTTGTTGGAAGATCTTGACGGCTTTTCGTAGGCCCGAGGTGCCCGGCTTTTGGCCCTCGTACACCCGGGTGTTCACCGTCAGGCTCGTCACCGATATCGCGGTCAAAAAAAGAAGGCTGCAACTGATACAGAAAAAAAAAACGATGAGGCGAGGAACTGGAAATTGAGGTTAATCTGTTGGTCGTGACTGGCGAGGAGATAAACTGTACAGAGATCAAACACTTGCGACAACCGTCCGTGCCGTCCGATAACTGTCGGCGGCAGACCGAACTTGGTCTGTCAATGACACGCAAGGGCACGAGTGCCCGGTTGCCGCCATTTTGGAAGATCGCGCGCCGCGCGCCGCGCGCCAACCGCCAGTTATCGCGGGAGCCGCCAGCCGGGAGTGCGCACGTGCACGCCACAACCGAAATCACATGGCCATGGACCATCAGCGGTACCAGCATCAGCCGTCAGTGGTTAAGGTTGTCGTGCTCTCGAGAATCGTTGACACTTTGGTTGTTTTCCTTTTAGGAGACACGATCGAACACATAAATGTCGTTCTTTTTTTGTTGTATTCCTTACTTAATGCTCGCCGCAGCCGTTGTTATTCATTGAATGTCAAAAGAACGATGTTTGTCTCGACTGTCTTGACTGTGTCGTCTAAAAGGAAAGTAGTCTTCTTCTTTTCCTCAAAATGATTTGTCAACTCATAAGGACACAAAGACAGGTTAAAATATCGTAAATTGTTGATTATTTTGGTTGGATTCTGCGGACATCCTGCGTTCTGCAGGAAAGAAATTCGAAAAGAATGAAAAGGAGAAATAGAAAGAATACTAGAGATCGATTACATATTTTGACAATTGTATATCAATAAAATGCGTAACTCCATTTTCATAATTACGACGTTACGAAGATAATTTATTGTAATTAGTATTTATTTTAATTAATACCTCAAATCAAGAGATACGGTAGTATCTTGGTGTTAAGACAAGTGCAGTGACACATTACAATGTCAATAAAATACTGGGTATACTTTTCTGAAAATCTCTCCCATCTTGTTTTGTCTAGGAATTTTATTATATAAGGAATTGTTATAGATTCCTTTAATAAGTATTTACAAATTCTATAATCTAAGCAGAACAGTCACGATAACAACAAAATAACGTTAAAATGATTCGTAAATGATTGAAAAGTGACTTTTAGTAATCATTTTGGAGTCATTCTGATATCATGACTTGTGTTCTATTTGGATATCTATCTCTCATTTTCTAAAATCCGCGCAAAGTTACTTCGAAAATTGAGATCGAGTTTCAAAGAAATTTCGTATAATTTTTTTCTTCATTAACCAGCAATTATAACACGAAATATTATAACTTATTTTTAAATGATTGCTGGGAACTTGGGACAATGTTAAAATAATATTATTAAACCTTAAACGCGCGTTTTTCTAGAAAAATTAATTTTCATAAATCAGATTTATTCTTATCAGATTATGGAAAACCATATCTTTTCGATAATAATCTTGCTATTGTATATGCGCGTAAAAAAAGACAGAAAAACATAAAATTCTTGGCTACGTAAGTTTTTTTTCATTCAACTGATTACTAAAAAGTCTGTCTTTTTTCTATAAGAAAAACACAAAGACTTTTATTATATTCGATTCTGGCGAATTCGATTGGAAGCACTAGTGCATATTAAAACCGTTTGTACACTGATTTAATTTGAGTATAAAAGTGAAATGCAAATATTTCGAATTATAAAATACATATTTTACCTAATAATACAATAAAATGTATTGAGTATTTCAGGATTTAATCGATTTCTCTGTTTATGTATAAACATATCTTTATGTTATTTTGTGTATGATATTATAACTTTAATGTGCACTAGTGCACACTGATGCGTCCAATCGAATTCGCTATAAGTGAAAAATAATTTCCTTTTTCGATTAATCAAATTATCTTCTTAACAACACGCATATCTAAAAGACGTCATAAAGACGGTTTTTTGACATCTTTTAGACATGTATATCTAAAAAAAGTCTTTATCATGATCTATCAAGATCTTTTAGACATGTAAATGTGTGCCTGAGTTTATAAATGCTATCTTTGATGCGACAGTTGATGTCAAGTAGAACTATTCTTGAAAAGAGAATAATATTTGTGTATAATGTGAAATAAATGTATCGTATATGAATTTGTATTTACTCGTTGGTTACTCCATTTTTCGAGTTTTGTGCTCCAATTTTCTTAGTTCTAACAATAACGAAGATTTTCTATTTGTAAAATTGTAGACACTTTCTGAGCGGATGAATAGGCAAAACAACGAAAGAATGTAATTGCGTAATAGAGATAAGTTTTGCAGATAAATGACGTGGGGTTTAATAACGCGGAAACTAAACAAGAAAATAGAAATGGATGCGTGACAATTTTCTGCAAATGTAGGCTTTATTCTTGTAGTGTTCAATAGACCAAAGATGAGAGAATATCACAAACGTGACAATTCGTTGCTTTAAGTTGAAAGCTGTGTAAGAAGTCGATAGACTTACGTCAGCAAGCTTTACATTGCTTGAATTAAGATAACAAATGTACAAAGCGACTAGTCTCGGGCGTCTTACGTATGCATCGCTAAGAGATAAGTGGATAGGGTCGCGAGTTTGACGTTTTAAAGTGTTAATAATAAAAAGGATAGACACGTTTAATTTCTAAAAGAGAAGTCTTGTAGTATTTCATGAGTACCATTTAACATCGAGAGGATATTATTAATTTTTCATAATAAAAATCTGTTTAAAAAACTTTACTTCTCTCGAGAAATACCGAGAATCCCCGCGGGAAAAGCCTATCATAAATGATCGAAATTGAGATGGACGGAAGGTTATTCACGGGGTTATTTCGCAGTCAACGCGTGAGAAGAGAATGAACTGCGAAGCAAGCAAAATTATAAGCACTCAGGCTGATTTGCGTCGACAATTCGAATTAGATAATAAGTTAGCGACTATTTCCACTTAGATTGTAATTTGATCTGTAAAAACATCTGTAAAAAAAAATAAACAATATTAAATCGCACATCAGTGCAATTTTTATTCCGAGAGGATTTAAGCTTTCAGAGATTTAATGTACAGTCCATTTAATGATATGAATATTTCGAAGCATTTGATTGATCAATTAGAAAAAAAAATTTTATTTGATAATTGATTCAATTAAAGAATGCTTCAAAACATTTATAACATCAAATAAACCATTGAAATAATTATAGAATCTAAGTGTTTCACGGTTATCTCGGAATGCCAATGTTTCGTTCATTTTATCTTTCTTCAAAAAGTATCATCAAAATAATTATGTAGGTCAAGCTGGTTGCTGAAATGTCAAAATGCCTTTTATAGCATTATTCATTGAAAATCCTATATAATTGTTTTAATTTTTTGTGTTCAACAAAATTATTTTGAGATCTGTAGATTTTCAGATCACTGTGACGTGTCAAAGAAACGATGGCAACTCAATCCTTTGAGTTAAATAACATTCTGTTATTTTTTACTTCCATATGTATTCAAAATGTAATGTAAACTCCATTTCTATAATTAATTTTAAAATAAACAATGTCCATACACATATATTAAGTACGCACTTAGTAAGTGATAAACTAAATTTGAGTCAAATTTAATACATTTTCTTGAGTTAAATTATTTTAATTAAATTAATGACATATTAAGTAGGAACATTGGCGACCTATAAAGAAATAACTCAAATTAGATGTAATTTAACATTATGAATTTAACAATGATAAATTTGAGAGATATTTAAAAATTATAACAAAATTGTTCTTTCCATATGTGAGTGTCAAATGGAATACAAGGCGAGAAAGACAGGAATCTCCCTTGTGTTAGTCACGGATGTCCTGGAGCCGCAAGAACATCGGTACCAAGAAGAAGGCCAAGAGAATCTCGAATTACGAAAATTATGCGATCGTCACAACCGATCGGGTCGATCAACGGTTTTTAGCCACGTTCGTTTGACGCGCGCGAGGCAAGTTCGTTGAAAAACGCGGCTGGAGGGAGGCGTGCTAAGTCAAGGATACCACTGATACAAAGTCCGAGTTTATAAAACGGGGACGTACCTACTCCAAAACCCAGTTTTCCAGACGAGGGCGCGCGATCGGTAACCGGGAGCTTCCCACGGGAGCGAAGATCCTTCTCAATCCTCCGGATCTTGCCGGTCGTCCAATCTACATCACAGGGACCAGGTCGTGATCGATCGCGTTAGAGAGAAAAGAAAAAGATAGTGAGTCAAAATTTTTCAGTTTCACAGCGACCACGGATAATACGCTGATATCGGATTATCGTGTCACCAAAATTCCCGACGATAACTTTTCACGCGATCCCGGTTATTAATCAGTTAATTTGGATCGAAGAGAGACACATTTGTCATTCCGATAAAACTGCAATAAATGTCGTAAGAAGCCAGTTATTGAATCCGTTATCTGGTGCTCGCACCTCTTGGGGTGATACGTATTCGGATCATAACAGATCGGATTTGTGTTTAAAAAAAGAAGAAAAGAAAAAAAAATGATGACGCAAGAAGAAATCTCATCCAGCATGATTATATAGTTCAACGCGATGTAGAATGCTCGTCGTTTAGTTTCGTGTTTTCTAGTGCATCTTTGCATGCTCCGCTCCATATTCGCCATTCTGAGCAACTGAGCTGCCTTCGAGGAAGCGCCGAAGTGTTAAACGGAAAAAGAAACTTTTTTGCATTGCATTTTTTTTTTGTTAACTTTCAACTTCCGAGACATTATGTATAAGATCCGTGTTTACCCAGGCAGCGACTCCTCGCTGACGCGAGACAGCGGATCCGAGAGCACGCCGTTACTCTCTTCGGACTCTCGCACGAGTCCGGAACTGGTGATATTCGACGATTCGGACACCAGCGATTTAGATCCAAGCCCGGCCAGCTGCTCTTTGATGTAAGATGTGCATGAAATGCATCTGCGAGAGGGAGATGTAACGTATTATATTTTTCCATATAATTAATAATATATACATGGAAAAAAATAATATTGTACTAACAGCATTAACCAACAACAGTCTAATTAAAAATAATCTTACTTATTCAAAATAACAGTATTAATGAAACAAATAACATTGTATTAACTCTTTTAAATATATTACACATTGTAATGTATATCAAATTTAAAGACATTATCCAATAAAATTATTTAATTCTATTGATATCATCTGAATCTAACATCGACATGTAATAATGTATATACTGGAAAAAGTCAAAATTTTGAAAAAAAAAATTGTTTAATATGAATTATTTATTAAAGCGCATATGAATTAAA